ATGTCCACTTCTCCTTAGGTGTGCCCCCCCCCCCCCCCCCCCACATTCCACTTCTCATTCTTCCCCGCCCCGCGCTCTCGCGTTTCTGCTCCGCGCCCCCTGCCGACCAGTGACCCGCAGGGGCCAAGATGCCACTGGCAGGCGCCCTGCGCCTTCAAGAGGCCCCCAGGGCGCCCCGACCGCAACCCGAATCATCCAGGACGCGCGCGCCAGCTTCCGACATGCCTCCGCGACGCTCCGAGAGACGGCCCAAGAGACAACTGACGGGTCTCCTGCGCCTTCACGCGGCGCCCGAGTCGCCCTCCTCGCGTCTCCGAGCCTCCGCGGCGGCGCCCGGGGGGCCCAGGGAACCGTAAATTCATGCCCATTTCTCCTTCGGCGTGCCCCCCCCCCCCCCCCCTTCACTTCCCATTCTTCCCCGCTCCGCGCTCTCGCCTTTCTGCCCCGCGCCTCCTGCCGACCAGTGGCCGAGAGGGGCCGAGATGCCATTGGCAGGCGCCGCGCGCCTTCAAGAGGCCCCCAGGGCGCCCCGACCACGGCCCGAAGCATCCTACTCGCGCGCAGCGCGCCAAGGGAACCCGAATTTGATGTCCACTGTACCTTGGGCCGTCACCCCCCCTCTTCACCTCTCCCCCTTGCCCCCGCCCCCGCTCTTCCCCCTGGGCGCCTCGACGACCGCGCGACTCCCCCGCGCGGTCTCAATCCCCCCCCCCCCCTCCCCCCAAAGAAGGCGTGCAGATCTCCATCGAAGCCCTCCCGCATCCCCCCCGCCCCGAACCCGCGTCAGGACAACCGGACCCTGGCGCGCGTCACTCCACGCGGTATCCAGCGTCCGTTGACCGCCGACGTTTGGGCCCGATGTGCGGAGCTGCTTTCGTCTAGCATTTCATGATTTCACCTCCGCGCCCGCTGCTCTGCTCCATGGGGCCCAAACGTACATCATTCAATCGCAGCGCCTGCAAGAAGGAGTTGCCGCGCGAGTGCTTCGCGCGCACCCGATTGAACAGAGCCATCAAACATTGCAAAGACTGGGCCAACAGCCACGGCAGACAGACATTGTTCACATGCTGTGCCTGCTCCACCGCACTGCCACGAGACTCATTCTCAGCCAAGCAACTGCTCAAACAAGTCAAAACATACATAGCGTGCGCCAGCAACCACAACAAGCCTGCTGCGACCCTACTCTGTGCTCGCTGTCACGAGAACCTCCCGCCAGAGGACTTTGCAGTTCGGAACCGGCGCAGAACCGACCGCATTTGCAAAGCATGCGTTGCGCAGCCGGCCTCCTTCTTTGTCTGTGTACGATGCGGCGGAACATTGCCGACAGGAGATTTCGCTGCCAGCAGGCGCGAGCGCAGTCAGAAAGTATGCCGGCGCTGCTGCCAACCAGGGCGTCCACCAGACGCAATTGCTCGCATAGACTTGGGCCCCATGACGCACGCATGCCCCCATTGCTCTGCCAATTTGTGTCAGCGCGAAGGCGATGGTTTCTGTTGCGGCGGCGGCGGGAAACATTACGTCGACATGTCGCGCTACTACAAGCCCCCCGCAGGCGCCCTCTTAGACCTCTTCCGCACCACGTGGCTGTACAAGGACCAGCAGGGGCGCCCAGTACACGACCCCACTACAAATGGACCTCGCCTGACGGGGTTTTCCGCCATTAGCAGGCGATGCTCACGAGATTCAGAACACCACTTCAGAAAAGGAGCTGCGATTCAGAAGCGAGCTGCGGCTTTCCAACATCAGGACCCATGGCACGATGTACCGGCGGATTTGGAGCTGCGCAGACACCACGCCTGTACGTTACATTGTCGTCGACCCTCGGGAGCGTGGCACGAGCGCTACTGCCCAGAACGTGGACATCCGTTTGGTTCGGCGCCTGGAGAGACTTATCCTTCCACACAATGGCTATGCAAAGGAGATCCGACGACTGTCCGCTCCCTCAGCTCGCGGCGCCGCTGTTGCAGTCGAGCTACAGTGGGACGAGGGCATCAACGAGCTCGCTGCGATTGTGCAGGAAACACCGCACGTCGACAGTTCTGCACGTTCGGTTTTGTTCCGCCGGACCTCGTGCCCCACGCCGCAGTATCTCAATCCGTTGAGCGCACTCTACGAGCCGCTGAGTTACCCACTCTGGTTTCCCCACGGCGGCCGCGGGTGGAGCACCGATATCGCGACGGACACGGGACAGCGCCTCTCGCAGATGTGGAGGAAGAGGAGGAGGAGGAGGAGGAGGAGGAGGAAGAGGAGGAGGATGAGGAGGAGGAGGAGGAGGAGGAGAGGGAGGAGGAGGAGGAGGAGGAGCAGGAGGAAGAGAGAGCAGGATCAGGAGGAGGAGGAGGAGGAGGGGGAGGAGGAGGAGGAGGAGGAGGAGGCAGAGAAGGAGGAGGAGGAAGAGGAAGAGGAGGAAGAGGAGTCGGAGGGAATTCCAATGCCGCATTCTCGCAACCAGGACACAGCCACACTACCACAGCCCTGACAACAACCACGTGGGATCTTATTGTCGGCCCGCCCCCGGGTCCGTGCACACAGGGAGCCGCGTGGGCCCCGCCTGGACCCCGCAATACACTTATACGTGGCACTTCTAGCAGCAACCCAGCTCAGTCTGGATATTTGATGCAACGCCCAAACGCCTGCCAGGTACAAGAGCCAATATTAGAAGGCGAAACGCAGCGAGCCTTAAAATCTTGTGATATATATATATATATATATATATTATATATATATATATGTATATATGTCGGAGGTTGGGGTGTGAGATCGCAGTGGAACGGAGACCAACAACCGGGAAATCGTTTCGTTTCGTTCGTGTCGTGCGTGCGGGCGAAGCGAAGCTGCGCGGGCGCGCGAGAGAAATGAACCCGCCGTTGCTAGGGCGAAAGCAAGACAAATGTTTCTCCTCCGTCCGTCCGTCCGGCGGTGGCCCTAGCGGTGTCCCGTGGTGTCCGCCGCTGCTAGGGCGAAATCAAGACAAACGATTATCCTCCATCCGTCCGTCCGGCGGTGGCCCTAGTGGTGTCCCGTGGTGTCCGCTTGAGTGAGATCGATAGTGAGATCGATAGTGATATCGATACTGAGATCCCCGAGGTGTCCTGTGGTGTCCCAAAGAATGAGATCGATAGTGAGATCGATAGGGAGATCGACTGGTGTCCCGTGGTGTCCCGTTGAGGGAGATCGATCGTGAGATCGATACTGAGATCGATGTGGTGCCCCGAGGTGTCCCGTGGTGTCCAATGATGTCCTGTGGTGTCCCGTGGTGTCCCGCGGCGCCTGTGGCGCCGCCCCTGGCGCGCGGAGCGCGCCAGGGAGGGGGGCCCAGCGCGGATCCAAGAACTCCGCGCGGAGCGCCAAAAGTTTGTGTGTTATGGCGTTTCTTCTTCGTATTCTTCTTCTACTTCGTCTTCTTCTTCTTCCAGACTTAGCGCCCTGTCAGGAGAGGCCACGTCCGGAGGGAGCGTGCCGGGTCTGAGACCTGCACGGTGTCCCCCGGTGCCCCAGGCGACCCGAGGAGGAGGAGGGAGAGGAGGAGGGGGAGCAGGAGGAGGTGGAGGGGGGGGGGGGAGGACGAGGAGGTGGAGGGGGGGGGGGGGGGAGCAGGAGAGGAGGAGGAGGAGGAGGAGAGGAGGAGAGGAGGAGAGGAGGAGGGAGGAGGGAGGAGGAGGAGGAGGAGGAGGAGGGAGGAGGAGGAGGACGGGCCGCCTAGGCCCTTCGGAGAAACCCTCCACTGAGATCCGGGCGCTCCACGCAGGACCTACACCCCGCACGGGCTCCTGGTACCCTCAGGAAGCTGGGCCTGGCTTCGCCTGCCGGCTCCTGCTCGGCAGTGCCCCGACAGCTCCCTCGAGAGAGGCTGGCCTCCGGGAACGAGCGCGCCTGCGCTCTGGCTCGTGCGCGAGGCGCGGGAGGCGCAGGGGATCGACTAAAAGATTGATCTGCCCCAAAGCTGAGAACGTGAAATGGAGTTACCCCAAGCTGGCCACAACGCTGATTTGCCCCAAGATGGATTTACCCCCGAATTGATTCACCCCAAACTTGATGATTCTCGTCGAATCTGTGAACAGTGCGTGCAGTATGTTCGTGGGTGGGGGCGCGGGCGCAGCACCAGGCGCCCGAGCTGGCGCAGTACCCGAGCGGCAGACGGCGCGCGGCGGGCGCGCGTGGCCGCAACGGGGGGGGGCTGCGAGGTGCGAGGCCTTGCGTAGGGCTCGGGGGTCAGGTCTGCAGAACGCCCCAAACGGACGTCAAGGGGCGCAACCAACCTGTTCGGTCAAGCTGAAAGTGACGCAGAGGCACAACACCGGGCGTCATGCCAAAACTGTGGACAGACGCGAAAGGTTCGACTCTGCACGTCTTCGTCGGCTTAGCCGGCGAGGCGTTTGATCACCTCGACGTCCCTTTTTGGGTGGTCCTCCAGAGGAAAGCGCTCTCTGACCCTCGGCCCTGCTCAAGCGAGGCCAGCGGGCGCCGTCCTGGTCGAACCGCGGCGAGGGGGGGGGGCGCGACAGCGGCCGCAGAGGTCCTCCGCGGAGGGCGAGGGAGAGGGCGCTGCCGAGGGTGCGAGAGGGAGGCAGGCACGAGAACGGCGCTGGGGCACCGCACCGTGCCTGGACTGCGTCCGGGCCCCGGCCCAAGGCGGTGGGGTGCACAGCCGTTCGGCCCCGAGGGCCGAGGCGGTGCGGCGGGCTCGTGCGGCGCCAGCGCGCGCAAAGGTTTGCGACACCGCGTCGATCGTTCAACCTTGGATCGGTCGCGGCCTCGATCGTTCAGGGCTGAATTCCGTCAGGTCCGGTGGCGTTACCGCGTCCCTCGGTGCTTCCGCGTCGCAGGGTTCGACCTTGAACGCCGTCGCCAGCGTCGCCGGCGCGCCAACGCCGCCTGAACCGACCGTATGCACTGTACCGTTCCTGGGTCGAGGATCGACGACGCCTCGGGAGAGGCCAACGCGGTGCGGTGGGTGCACACAAGTCGTCCGCGGAGGCGGGAGGGAGGAACGAGGTGGCAGGGGTTGGGGACGAGGGGAGGTGTGGTGGGGGCAGTGCGCGATGACGCAGCGATGCCCTACAGGAGCGGCGCCTCGCTGTGCAATCGTCCCGCACGAGGTCCTCCTCCTCGCTCTGACTCTCCCCTCATTCTTCCCTTCCTCGTCATCGTCGTCGTCGTCCGCCTCCCATTCCTTCTCTCCTCTTTCTCCTCCTCCTCCTCCTTCTCCTCCTCCTCCTCCTCCTCCTCCTCCTCCAAAGCACCCTTCTCACACTCCGTCCCCTTCCTCCTCATCCTCCTCCAGCCCTTCAGTTGTCCTCCTCCTCCTCCACCACCTAGTCTTCCTATTCAGCACCTTCCTGCACGATCTATGTCATCCCCATATCCTCATCACCATCCGAGGTTGGGACAGCCGCAGGAGAGATGGGAGGGAGGAGGAGGGAAGAAAGGATTAAGGCAGTAGAGGGAGGAGGGAGGGGCAAGCCTCATCGCGGTCGCCGTCCTCCCCCTGGCTCCTGGTTCCTGGTGGCATGAAGATCCAGCGGATGTCGCCCTCCTCCTCCACCTTCTCCTCCTCTTCCTCATGCTCCTCCTCCCTCCTTGCTCCTCTGTCCTCCTCCTGTCTCCTCCATCTCCTTCTGTTCCTGCTCCTGCTCCTCCTCCTCCTCCTCCCGTCCTCCCGTCCTCCCTCTCTTCCTTCCGTCCTTCCTTCCTCCTCCACCGAGCCGCGGCAAATCCCCAAGCGTCAGCTGCCGCCTATGCCCAGCGATGGGTTGGCCTTCCGCACGGCCTCGAAGCGGAGGGGGGAAGAAGAGGGAGGAATGAGAATGACGAGGCAGTCTAACCAGCCATTTCGAGCACGCCAGCGGGCCCGGCCTACTCTCACCCTCCATGCCATTGCAAGTGGGCATCGAGGCCAACACCGTTACCACCAAGTGAACGGAAAGCGCTCACGCGCGCGCGTGGCCCCACGTACGACGACTAAGCGAAGAAAAGTCGTGGAACGCGCAGGAAGACTAGGATTAGGTCGGGCATGTCCCCCTAGCGGCGAATTTGGACGAACAAATAAAACGACCAAACAATCCAAATGGTCAAACATAGTCAAAACAACCAGACGATTTGTGTTACTAATTGAATATTCCTCCTGTAGAGGGACATGTCCAACTTAATTCTAGGAGGCGCTGGAATTCCAAAGGGGGCTCCCGCGGCTACCCCTGGGCTTCTAGGGAGGGAAGGGGACGAGGGCCAGGCAATGCCAGGGGAGGGGGGGCCACCGCTGGGGGGGGGATCGCGATCTCCTCTGGAAGCTTCGCCCCCGCCCCAGAAAAGTGCCTAGAACGCCCAAAAACGTCCAGGCCTCCTCGATCCTCGACCCTCCCTCCTTGGTGATCCTCGATGCTCCGAGGGGGGAGAACAGGAGGCGGCGACAACCCTAGTGGTGATCCATGCGTAGTGCGGCCCTGGGATCGGCGACGAATGACTGACCGACTGACTGGCTGACTGACTGACTCACTGACATCTGGAGACGGCCCCTGCATCCACATGCAGAAATGGAGCCTCAAAGAAGGATCGGCTGTTCATGGCATCGGGCAACGGAGACCAATCCTGGCTGGGCCGATCCTGGAACCAGGATCGGGGTGAAAGCACGCGCGCCTGGCTTGGCGAGGACGTGCACGCCGACCTGGGCACAGGACGGCACGCTGCCAAGATAGGCTGCCCGAGAAACCTGCGCGTACCAGCCAGCGTTTGCACCCGAAAGGGGTCGAGGGGAACGATCCCTGACATACACACGCAAGAAATCGGAGGCCCGCTCGGGTTTCTCGGATCGGCGCTGGAGCCCCCTGGTGGCGTTTCTGGCGCCGCCCCTGGCGCGCCCCGCGCGCCAGGGAGGGGGGCCCAGAGGAGGGGGAGGAGGAGGGGGAGGAGGAGGAGGAGGAGGAGGAGGAGGAGCAGGAGCAGGAGCAGGATGAGGATGAGGAGGGGGAGGAGGAGGAGGATAAGGAGGAGGAGGAGGAGGAGGAGGAGGAGGAGGAGGAGGACGAGGAGGAGGAGGAGGAGGGGGAGGAAGAGGGGAGGAGGAGAAGGAGGAGGAGGAAGAGGAGGAGGAGGAGGAAAGAGGAGGAGGAGGAGGAGCCCAGCGTAGGAGGGCGGGGTTCGTCAGCAACTCAGGCCCCGCCGGTGGGGGGAGGCGGCGGGCCTCCAACCGATTTGACCGCGGCGAGGGGCGACGACGTGCCAGCGTCGAGGCAGACAAGCGGCTGGGGGGGCAGCTCGGGAGAGGAGCGAAGCGAGACGGCAGAGGGCAGCAGCAAGGAAGGCTTGAAGGGCGAGGCGGAAGGGGGGAAATCGAAAGCGGCAGCGTCGGCGGCCGCGTCACAACAGCGCGCTGGAGCCTGCCCGACCTCGTTCACGAAGCGGGTAGCCGCATAGTATGTCGTTTCATTCGGTGCGAGATGGCAGGCAGGACAAAGACGGATGATGCCAGGCGGGGAGACGGGCGAGACATACGCCTGGACGGAAGACAGGTGCACGGGCGAAGGAGGCAGACCACCAACGTCAGTGGGGCGACCTGGGAAATCACGCTCGGGTGAGCGAGTCAGGTGCGACGCAGTGGGAGGGGGGCAGGCGGGGGGCAGGCAGCAGCAAGAGCAGAGCGCAACGGAGTGATGGACGGGGTGGGGGACGGAAATAGTGATGGCTCATTTTCGGCTGCACCCTCAGACGGCGTGGACCCCGACGCCGGTGGAGGTGCCGCCCTCTGGGCCGACGGAGAGCTCGACGCCGCAGTCGAGGCGGAAATCGGAGAGGACAGCGTCATCGGAGGGCACGGCGAGATCGAAGGCGAGGGTCCCCGCGGAGAAGGCCGCGAGGGTGGCGTCCAGCGATGGGGAGACTCCAGCACCCCAGGATTTCGTCCGACACATGGCGACGGCGAGCCCGAACGCGACAACGGGATTTGCGATCTAATGCCGAGGGACAGGCGCCCTGAATCACGGCGCAAACCGCGTGGCGACGGCGAGCCCGAACACGACAACGGGACTTGCATTCTAACGCCACAGGCGGGAGGGTCTCCGTCGAGGAATCCCAAGCGTAGCGACGTGTAGCCCGAACACGACAGCGGGACTTGCGATCTGACGCCTGAGCCCAGAGGGGACGAGTCGAGGCCTCCAGGTCGCGGTGACGGCTAGCCCGAACACGACAGCGGGACTTGCGATCTAACACCATTTGGAGGCGACGAGGCTGCGGAGCAACCAGTCGACAAGGCCGATGGTGATGACAACGCCACACAAGAGCGGCGCGAAATCGGGGACGGCGAAGAAACTGATGAACTGGAGGCCGCCATTCGCGGAGCACTCAAAGTCACAGACGCTGATGGGGCCGCCCTCTGTGCTGATGGGGGGCGCGACAGCGACGGAGGCGCAGAGGTCGGAGAGCAGGGGGTCGCCGAAGTCGAAGGACTTCACGTCGCTCGAACCGTAGCTGGTGTGGGCGGCACTCTGGATGACGGGCGGACAACCTGCATATATGGGGAAGTGCGCTCAGCCAGCTCAACCGGTAGATCGTAGCGCTCGATAACAAAGTCCTCGGCTCACGGGGATTGGAGTGGCGATCGGGAAGGTGACGCACCAACCTGGCTGGCACCCGAACCTGAGGTAGCATGGGGCGTGCTGTCGCCGTCGTCGCTGGAGTCGGAGGCCGCGGACGATGATGAGGGAGACGAGGCGATCAATGAGGCGGGCGGTGATGAGCACGTGGCGAGCGGCACAGCACAGCCTGCGAACGCGGAGACGATGGCGGGGTCGAACTCGAGCTTGAGACCGCAGGGGTGAGCCTCGGGGACGACGTCACCGAGCCGCTGGAGTCAGAAGTGCTCGAGGAGGGCGATTGAATGTGGTAGTCCCTGCGGCCCAACTGCTTCCTCTCCACCGCCGAGATAGCCTGCGGCGAAGCGAGCATCATCGCCCTCACGCCCGCCAAAGCACAGCTGCGGGTGGCTGCAGGGGTCAGCGGCCACGGGTCGATCGTGCGAGCCTCGCTGTACATGTTGCAAGCGGCCGCGAGCACCGAGTAGGAGTGACAGGAAAGGCGGCGCAGCCCCCATCTGGGCGGGAAGTCAAGGGCGAAAGGTCGAGCCAGAGCACGACGGAGGGCCGTCCAAAGGACAGGGCATCGCGCGTAGTGCCTGAGCGCGTCGCCCCTGTTCAGACAGCCGAATGCGCATGGGCGTCGCCCATGTGGTGAGATGATGCGAGCAGATGCCGCCCAGCCATCAGTCCACGAGCGGATCACAGCCCACGCCCAAGAGCACGGACACCGCCGAAGGACCGACTGGCAGGCGCCCCAGTCCACGTAGCGGAGAGACGTTGCATGCTGGCCCGCGATCTTGGCGAGGCGCAAGGTGAAGAGGGCTCGGTGTGGGCGGGCAGCCAGGGGCGCTTCGCGAAGTGCAGCATGCGCAGCACGCTGTGGACGAGGGCGAGAGCGGCCGACGCCGTCCAATGCGCCAAGCGCAGCGTCGAGCGGGGCGCGGCCGCGCGCGGCCAGCGGGCCAGGCGGGGGGCGACCAGCGGCAGCGGCCTCGAGTTTCTCGACGAACGCGGGCGCCTTCCAGAAGTTGGGGCAGGGTAGGCCCGTGGCGAGCATGTCGAGAGTGCACCAATAAAGATGTTCGTCTGCGTGTGCGCGGAGTGCAGCCAGAAGCTGGGGCCAGCGCTGGAACGTGAGCGTGGCCGCACGCGTGATGGCGGCAGTCGTGGTGACCCCAGCGCACGCAGCGCGGGCCGCTCCGGCGGTCAAGCTGGGGCCAGGCGTCGAGGTGCAGCGCGCCGAGCGGAAGTCTGAAGACCTGCGCGAGCACCGACAACTCAGGCAGCAGAACGGACTTCGAGGGCCAGCAGAACTGCGCGACGCATGATAACGTGGTCATCGCCCGCGTATTGTAGAGGATGGCGGAGTGACTCGCGGGGGCGGCGCCGCGCCCGATCGCTTGAGCCCGCAAACGAAGCTTCGACAGAGGTCCCGTCCACGAGGTAGTAGGGCAGACTGCGGGGCCTAGCCAGAGGCCTAGATATAGGAGCTGCGATGTGATCTCGAAGCCTGCCCACTCAGGAACATCGCGCTCGATAGTGCCCCGAACATCCCGTGCCAGCGCCTCCGAGAAGGGCCCCGAGAGAGGAACCAACTTGCACTTCGCGGCTTTCAGGTCCAAGTTAGCCACCCCCGACGCACAAGACATGTCTTGGGAGACCAGGGTCAGGGCCTGGATGGACCGCAGGGCGCCGCCGATATCATCTGAGCACGGATAAGGCCCAGCTGGGGGCCTTCAATCTCCGCGGCCAGGTCCACCAGGAATGCGGTAGTGCCCAGGGCGTATAGGGTACCAGAGAGAGGACAGCCCTGAATAATGCCACCCTGGATCCAAAAGACATGATCGAGGCGGCCCCGGCGTAAGGTGACCCCCTCGATCGACGAGTAGATGGGCGCAGCGAACTGCGCGAGGGGGGCCAGGGGGGCCCATGAGGCCGAGGCAAAGCATCGGGACGTCCTGGCTGAGGGAGGGGAAAGCCCGGCCGAAGTCGAGGGAGAACAGGACTGGGATGTCCCGCGGGGCATGAGGCGTGACAGACAGGATCCTGCTCGAGGCGCCTAGCTCGAGGAGGTTGACCCCGAAATTCCGACCAGGAACAAATCCGCGCTGGCACGGAAGAGCCAGAGCCTGCAGCGCAGGACGGGTGGCGTGGCTGACCACCGCGCAGACGATCTTGAGGTCGCAATTCCGAAGCCCCATGA